CCCCCCCCCTCCGCCACACTTTTAGGATTTTCTTAAAATAGGCTAAGAATGCGACCTTAAAATAGTTACAGTTCTATATACTGCATACACAGTTCTAGTCAATAATTTCCACCTACAGATGTGTTTGATAGGAGTAATGTGGCTCACTGCCCAGGGCGAAAAGAATGAGGGTATGGCACAAGTATAAGAAAATTATAAAGTTATTACAGTTTGTGTCCTGTTAAAAGAGAGTGGGCACTCCTTTGTGTGTGCATCCATTACACATCTGCCCTGCGTTCATCAACGAAATGCAACAAGATCAGACTAATGAACAATTAGATCTGCAGAAAAAACCACCAGGGCTTACTTTCTTTTACAGTTCTAGGTTCAGAGAAAAGGGCAGATATGCAGATCCCTCATATCCTGGACACAAACTGTTTAGCTGTTGGTTCAGTGCTACATTTGTATACATTCATAATTACATTTTAAATATTGAGAGTAAAGCATAAATGGAGCACAAATGTAGCAAATAGAGCCAATTTTGATTGAGACACCATAATCTTGTATGGCAGGTGGTTAATGAAACTTTAGTGTCTGATCAAAATGGTTTGAATAGTTCTGGACTAAAAACAGATCTTTAAACAGAAATGTATTTGGATTTATGAAACATTTATTTGATTTGTATAAAAACAAACAAACAGTTTTTATCAGTATTAGAAGAAAGCATATCCTTCAGACTGGTCAAACTTTGAAGCTCAATATTTGATCTAATAAATTTTTTTGTTGTAATACATTATATAGTGAAAATATATTTTAAATTCCCTCCAGCTATTCTCATATTATTGTTTTACTAGAACATTGCCCCGTATCTTTGTTTCATCAGTTTGGAATGCTGTAAAACAGCCCAACATTATGATGCTGCCACCACCAGCTGACCGTGTGTGTACAGTTTACTTATGCTTGAAACTCACCAAGACCCCTACAAAACACACTTTCCTCTATTCTGTGTAAATGGCTACATTTCTTTCTCAGCTGCCCACAAAACATATTCAAACTTTTGCAGCTTTTATATATAAATACATACATCCTATATGATCCTACCCATCAAAGTACGGTTCAAATAACGTCAAGAGTCTCATAAGACTCATTAGACCAAGCATCCAACCAGGTTTATAAAAGCTACAGTTATTTACAATCCTCCAGCATCACCATGTGCTCCTTTTGTGAACTTTCTCAACCAGTCAGAACAAAACAAATATTTCAAGGACAGTTCCTCTGAAAGAAGAGAGCGTTTCTAACCCCACATGTTTGGCTGCTTCTATGAATAGCCGTCACACAGGTCATTGGATATGCATACAGACATAGCCAGTTGTCTGCTGTCAACAGTTGGATCAAATATTCTAAATATATGTAAAAAAAAATAAATAAATAAAAAAAACTCCATTTCAGTAGGTTTAGAAAATTGTATGCAAAGACCTCAATGCAGTAAAAATCACATTGTCTCCTCTGTAGTCATAAACATTTCTTCTTCTACTGTACAGGCTGCAGGCATTTGTCCTATATTTGTACAAGTCCTGGCAGGAGTCCAGAAAAAGCAAGATGGTCCTCAACTGTAATCAAGAAATTTCTTCTAGCTTTCTTTTCTCTATTCAAACCAAATTGTTTCTTTATTCAGCAAAGTTTTCACTTTTTTCAAAGCTAAAAAATGTCAGATCTGTTTGGTTTCACAAGCCAATATAGAGACATTTAAACCAGGACTTACTGGCTCACATGGTAACAAGCAACTGGTTTCCTGCCCTTTGGAGGCCCACTGCCAGACCTCAAAAACCTTTACAGCCAGTCATCCCTACCACACTGGAATGCATAGTGAGACAGATTCAACCATCAGCATCTCAAATTGTTACACAGCGGCCGGTTTCTTAATAAAGTCCAATAATCTGTGACGCAGGCAGCTGCTAAGCCCTCCTTATGTTGAGATCAGCTCTGAGAGTTTGCCATTGGAGCCACAGGAACGAATGGGTGGGGGTCGTCAGGCATGCTGGCGCTCGTTTCAGGACGAAGCTCAGATTTAGAGACAGATACGGCACCGCACGCCGAACCAGGAACGCTGTCATGCTGCGCTTTGGGAGGCTGCAGGCGAATGGCCATCGGTGTCCATCTCAGGACTTAGTTGGTCGTTTTCAGCTACTGCGGTGGTGGGGCAGCTGGTGGTTTCCTCGAGCCTGCAGTATAACGCCCTCATGGCCACAGGAATGGACATACAACTGAGATAACACACACGCACACACACACAAGTATTATGCAAGGAATCAAACTGAAAGCAATGATTAAAATTAGTATTTCTACAAGAGTACAAAACAGACCTAGTCAGAACCATGGAGGTGTATTCGTCCAGCATGGGATAAGATGAATCATAAAATCCTCCTCCAAACAACTGGCAGGTGATCTGACGGGGATTAGGTATGTTGACCAGCACTGGTGACAGAAAAGCACACAAGTCCACATGTTTCCCAAGTAGTTCTGTAGAGGTCATAAGGTATATGCATTTCAGTTGCAACCAAGAAACTATTAATCTCAGTTGGACAAACGGAAAGAAGTTTGCAGCTGACGGTTAGCCTGAGCTGGCAATCTCGTCATCTTTAAGACTCATTTCACAGACGCCAATTATACCACTCTGGAAAAATTAGCCCAAAGGTAAAGGTGTACATAAATGGACTCAATATTGTTTTGTTAGAGTTACAACTATTTCTATTTTTTTACTTTCCTTACAATTTGAAGCAAAAAGTTGACCAATAAACATGCTTCATAGATATTTCTTGTTAAAGTTGCACAAGAAACTCACATTTACAGTTCAGTCATTTTTACTTCATTTAAAAATCGGTAGTTTTAGCAGCAACAGGAATAGTATATTAATATACGCCACTTTTACACTACATATAATCTAATGATGTTAATAGCTAAGGCAGATTCAAAATGCTTAACCGAGCATTTCTAACCTGAACTGGCCCACTACAGTTCTTTTAAATTTATAGAACACAATGTTCTCTATCAATTTATGACAGAAATTACTGCAGAGGACAGGCTTTAAATACCAAACCTGCACGAACCAAAAACCATACGAGATCAAGTCTGGAAATTCAAACATTTTCCACACTATTTTCCTGCTATACTTATCCAGACCTGAAAAATACTTAAATTAAGTGGCTTTTTTTCCCCCCATAAAATTCCCTTAAAAAATGCTTACAGACGGCAAGACTGTCAATGTGGGGTTGACAGAAGGTCACAGAAATGCTGGTAGTGGACTCTGGGCGGACTTCAAAGTGAAGGTCACAAACTGAAGCTGGTGGGAATTCACAGAAATAAAGCAGAACACAACATAAATATAATTGGAGCATTACAAGTCTTCTTGGCAGCATCCCTTCCGCCATATTGGATATAATTCTACCACATGAACATCCTCCCACCTGGACTGGCACTCTGAGTCAAGCAGCTCCTCAGCAGGGTGTTAAAGACACACTGGTGACGCAGCAGCTCCAGCACGGCGGAGACGTGAGCCAGCTGGGTGAAAGGAACGCTGGCCAGCAAAGCTGCTCTTTGTGCGGGAGCATCCCATGAAGAATCAGCGAGAACATAGGTGTGCATCCCACCCTCAGGAAAAACCTGGACGAGACGTTTCAATTCTCCCTCAGCATGCATTCCATAAGAATTTAAATTGACAAAAAAAACAAAAAAAACAAATAAAGCTAAAAGCAGACTCATACCACTGTAAAGATCTCCTGTCCATCTAATGGCTCTGAGGGGCTTTTTGCACTTGCAGAAGCATTTATCAGAAGCTTGGGTAATGGTGCCCACTGGAGGTCACAATCTGGTATAGTCACGCCTGGAGAAACAATGGAATGAGTGTGGAGCAGTTTGATTTTGTTCTAGGAAAAGTTCCCAACCTGTGATTTGTCCAACTCTCTCCACAATATGAGAAAGCACAGGTATCGGTGTCTTCAGTCTGAGCAGGAAACACGCGGGAAGCGTCTCATTCGAAACCTCACCAAGTGCAGCGACCGCAGGACAACTGGTTCCAAGACGCAGGTTTATCGTTAACTAGCAGCTGGGACCTTCACATCATTCTACTGAATGAGAGACCTACTGAATGCAGACCTATGAGTGTCCAGCTGAGGAGCCTCTGAGATTAGAGATGTCATCTGTAGCTTGTGAATCAAGTCACCGACTCCGATTGTAGCCTGGTTAACCTGGACAGCTGGTTTGAACTCCAACAATTCTTCAAGTGCTAAGAAATAAAAGATGCAACTTTGAATCTGCTGCATGATCAGACGTTAAGTTAAGATGAAAAATCAGAAGCCAAATCAGAATCTTACACAACTCTGAGTTCTTCAGGCAATCATTTGGCGAGATATAGAAGTAAAGAGAAGGAGGATAATCTGGAAAAATAACTGAATAAATCATATCCTATAAAGAAAAAAATATCCACGTGTATGATTTACTGTAAACGTTCCAACTCATACCTTGTTTTTCTGCCATTAAAAAGCCAACCCTGCCATTGTTTATCAAGTCAATTTGGGCTTCAAAGCACTTTGGTTCTCTAAAAGAAAGAAAACATCCTTAATGAATAAACAATTTAATTCAAGTTGTCCAAAAGCAGTGTAAACTGTTTCTGCTATTCTTAGCAGTAACTGCTAGAAGTCACCATGTTAGCCTTTTTTGTTACTTACTTTGGCATATCTGATATTTGCTGAAGGTCTTTCCAGAGGCTTTTTATGGATTTCAACATTTTTGATTTTGTTTCACTGTGAAAGCAACAGATGGGAGGCCAAATGGTAACCATTCCAGATTTTAAAAGTGAATCGTGAACGTCTTAGGAAAACCTACCTGTCTCCAGGAATGTTGTATTGAGCAAACGGTTCTCCCAGCCTCACGGAAAATTCAGAAAAGTTATTGGACCTTTAAATTATCCAGAAAAAAAAAAAAAAAGGAGAATTAGCATTTGCAGGTAAACTACTCGTCCAACAGCTGAAACTGTTGTCATCCAAAGTTGTTGGCGATAAATTGCCTGTTTTATCTGACGTAAATTTAACACACCGTCATCGCTTACCTAAGAAGACGCAAAAGGGACCTGCTGGGCTGCATAGCAATTTTAGTGCATTAGTGAACAGAACTCAAAAAGAGGCATAGCTTCATATTTTCTGAAGAGAAGAGTCTGCTTACAGCGGGGCGTTCTCTGTGTAGAGCCATCTTTACGTCCTGCACCTCACCAGATGGCAGCAGCAACACCTCCAGGTAGAAAATGTCAGCCGTCAGGTAGCAGGTGACGTCAGTACAGTAAAAGTCCATCCTAAACAATCCAAAACAAAATGATATATGAACGAAGGTTAGACACTACAAAAAATTGTGGATCTACTCCCAGAGAGATAGATCTGAGATATGAACACTTTTGTTCACCAGTTCGCAAAGTTTTTATATATATATTTTTTTATTTTGTCATGTTACAACCAAATGTATTTACCCTTGTCGTTTGGCGATCATTTCCAGTCTGGATTTTGTGTTGTCCATAGTTGGTGCTGAAAATTAAATAAAAAAAAAAAATAATAATGTTACCAATATTACTATACTAGAAAGCAGAAAAATGAATCATTGGAATATTTGTTTACCCTGAAGCACTTCCTGGAGTCTGTCCAAAGCTCTTGCAATCAGCTCACAAGGTTTGGATTCATCCCTGGATTTCTCCTATTGTGGGACAAAGGGAAGTGAAAACCTAACAAAGGATGTGTTGTGCAGCAGTGTGAGGTTTGTGTCAACTGTCCAGTGCCGTCTGCCCATCCCCTCAACGAGCTGCGTGATACCACAGCAAGGGAAATATTGACACTGAGGATCCTTTACATACATTTTTAAACAGAGGGCAAATATACTGTGAACTCATCCTTTGCTTTGAGAATCTAATTTCTTAATAATCCTTGCAGGTCAGTATTGTATAACTAGCCCCAGCTGCTGTATCCCTTTGGGCCACACATCACTTTAGACCACCAAGTAATCAAGATTGCCTTACCAGACTCTGGAGGCTGACCCCTGCCAAACTCCACTTTAAATAAATCCACAAATATTCTCCTCTCTGGGGGCTCCACCCATGAAAATCTAAAGAAAACTAAACCTTCTTCTACTTCCAGAGTCTCTGCACGCGGGTTAGCTTTGGTAAAACAACAGCCCTCTTATACCACACTTTTCTCCGTACAGAGTCTGGGGTCTATATTGTTTCCCGGAGGCGTGGACTCTTCTTCTTCTATGTTTTATTGGCGGTTGGCAAACAACAAAGTTGGCGCATTACCGCCCCCAACAGGCGTAGACACTGTTGGAAGTTTTACATTTTACCCAGTCGTTGACGTTTGTCCGTGACGTATGTAATGCGCCAGTTTCCTGTAGCTTACAGGAAATTGTTAAAGTCTGAAAGTTCGCGTTGAACACAGCGGTATCGTGTTCGTTGTTGACTCGTACGTTGGAGTTCTATTCTCATAAAATGAGCCCTCAAAGGAGGGTGTATATAAATGACAGTCCAAAGGGACCTGCTCTGCTGGAGCACCTTCGTAATCGTCCATTTTTTTGTGAATGGAGGGCGATCCGCGCCTAGTTACAAAGATTCAAAAGTGCATGACCAGATAGCGCGCGACGCCAATTCGTGTGAGTGGAGTTGGCGCGCGCCTCCTCACGCACGGTTCAACACGTTAGCGGTAAACCAAGCTAACCCTAACCATCCTCCACTGCAAAAAGAGAAGTACCTATCCGAACAAAATGGTTGTTCAGTGTTTTGAAGTGTGGCCAACACCCAACGGCTTTGTTCAGTTATGCTGCTGCCATTAGTAAAAGTACAGGGAGACTACGAATATAAAGCAACACAAAAAATCGATATCATTCACAACTTATTCTGTTCGCTGATTAGCCTGGTGGAAATTCTATCGGAGGGAATCCAAGTAAACAAGAGAAAACCCAGACTGAGCTGTAGGACAGATTTGAATCAAGCGGAACTAGCATGCTTGGACCGCAAAATAAACATTTGCACATTCAACCCTTTGTTCTTAAACTTGTATATCATATTGTTGGCAAACACACTATACCTCTCAAGCTCCGAGTCCTGTTCCACCATTTTGCATTACACACATTTATTTTTAATATTTGAATATTTTAATATGTGGGGACTGGGCTGGTCAAAGAACAAGGTTAAATTTGTGTCCAAAGAGACATTTTTCTGTCCAGTGGCCATAGTTTGGATCATCACCCTGAATAGTTACTTGTTTTCAGTTTTCTAGTGGAGTCAATCACATTTTTATTAGGTTCATTCAAAGACTTCCTAACATGAAGTAGATTCCCAGAGAAACAGTCCCACAGCATCACAGAACCTCAACTGCACTTAGCAATTGGCTCATTTTTATGTCTGTGTTTATTGCCAACAATAAAACACTAGCAAACGTCCTTAGTGATGGAAGTAAAAGTGCAGAACTGGCAACTTTATTTACAAGAAATATTTCTGTCTGGGGTTGTATTTGTCACTGAATGCACTTAGTTTGAGTGAGAGGTCCTGCAATAAAACAAATTTATTTTTAAGGCATTTACATAACTTTACATTCTACTGTAGATGGCAAGTGAGACTAAGTAAACATCAGAAGCACATCAGTGCCCAGAGTGATGATCAAACAAAGGCTCAAGTATCCCTCTATGGATGATCTAATGGGAGTGCATTGCCACGCAGCAGTTCCCGATTCATCACATGTTATATTGCTAAAGGGCCCATCCCAAACTGACTCAACAGAACTGTAAGGCAGTTTTTTATTCTTTTGAATGAACATGATTAAAATGACAAAAGGTTTGCCTTAAGCAGAGATTGCCTTACCATGCATCTGCGGACAAGCTGAAATGTGTCATTCCAACTCCTCTCTGCAAACTTGCGGTGCAAGTTAGAAATTCTGGTATTTTTTTTCATTACTGAAAGAAAACCAAAGCAAAAAATGTCAGCTGTGGCAAATAAGATTCAATTTCAGTACATTATTACTGTAGCAGCTAGAGTTGGCTTTTATAGCAGGAAAGTGCAATTAAATATTCTGCACTTTTCAACAACACCTCTAGTATTTGGCCATCTTGGTGCCTCTACATCGTTTCCCCATTTATGCAAATTGGCCAATTTTATATCCTAAGCTTCAAGAAAATTATTAAAGTTAGTAGCATCAAAATAAAGTGATTTTTTTAGAGACAGAAGAATCAGTTTAAATTCAAAAGTAAAACGTAGAGCTGGGAGAGTGTCCCTGGCGGGCGGGCGTTGTCAGACAGAGCCAAGCCCACAGGACGTTCAGTCAGTCCGCTGCTAACACCTACCACCAGAGTCCCTGGAGTTAGCCACAGAGCTAGCCATGAGCTAACAAGCACAGGAAGCAGAGTGTTTTTATTTTGCCTCCTCTCACTCACCTTTCGTCTATCATTCTGCCCCAAGGGAAAACCAGTTAATTTGCAGGTATGTTGTTCTATTAAAACGTCTTTTTGCCGCTCCAACCCTTTTTTGTGTGTCAGTTGTGATTAGCTGCTGTGGTACCAACCGCTTGCTGCTAGCTCCTCTTTTTTTCCCTTCTGCTCTCGACAGAGCTGTTCAACGGTGTAAGCATCTGTTGCTGGGTGTCAGGATAATAAAGATTTGATTTTAGAGGCGTTTCAATCAGCCTGAGCTTCCCCAGATGTTAATTAAACGTCAGGTGACATGTTTACCTGCTCCGTGCGGTTTAGGTAGCTGCTCGCTTAGCCACATCGCCCACTTTAATAGCCTCCAGGCGTGGATTTTTAGAGCATTTAGTCTGTAAATTCCTAGTTTAATCATCTGTTAACGGGGTTGTTCATGTTTTCCATATCCTCTTGTATTAGTTTGCTCAATTATAGATTGCTCAGTTACCAGAAACTGCTCTTGACTTGTTATTGTCGTCATTTCTGTGCTAATTTCTTCCCCTTACTGGTTTATTCTAGGAAAATTATAACAGTTTTTCCCCGTGTAGTCCTTGAAATATTATATTAAAATAACATAATTTAATCGTTTTATCAAGAGAATGAGACTCTTACAGGGCGTTCATAGTTCACTATTTTTATTTGCACTTAAATTAAGTAAATATTAGGTGAGCATTACATTAAATGCTAAATCGTTATATTGACTGACAGCTGCGTTGCAATTTAGCTTTTGTTAATTTGTCTAATGAAGCATTGGCAGAATTCCCATGTTTAATCCTGCTTCCAAGAGGTTTGCCTTGGCCTGTGCTGGGAATGGGCCTTCACCCCCTCATTTCTATGCATCATGATTCCCTTACGGTCTCCATGCATTAGTTCTGACCACTAAATTGCTCTTGCAGATGTCAGATTTGAAAAAAAAAAAAAAAAAAAAAACATCACCTGATGCTGCCTAGAAGTATTAATCGTAATAAAAAAGTTTTATGATACAAATGTGTATCAACGATCCTTCATCAACTACAGGAAACTCCTGCTACATTCTGGGAATTTCCAAACTGTTTTACCTTTAATGTAAAAGAAAAGGTGCAGATAAAAATTAAACGTTGATGCACTGAAGTATTGTTTTAATTCCAGTGTGTGTTAAGGCAGTGTTGATATGTTTTGTCTGTTATTCTGAAAAGCATTAATTGTTTTACCTCAATCCATCATAAGAATTGCACATACTGGTAAGTATACCTTTAACACATCTCCACTGGAGACCTTGTGAATCATAGTTGCCTTTCAGTCTTGTCCTTCTTTGCATAAAGAGACTCTTTTGCATTCAGTGAATCTTATTTCTGCGCACTTTGACTGCTGCATGCGTTGCTTTCACAAAAAGTCAGAGGAAACGGCACAGCAACTATTAACCACAGACACTGTAAAGCCTGTTGTTTATGGAACAAGAAGAAAGTTGTTGAAAGAAAACCATGTAAAGAAACAGCAAACGTGGGAGAAGGTGATTGAACATCACAGTGGAAACTATTGCCACTGTAAAACATGGTGGTGGCAGCATCATGCTCTGTAGCGGTCTTTCCTCCTGAGGTTCACCTTCCAGCTAGGCAACATAAAACACACAGCCAAACCAGGTTGAAACCTGGCTGTATGTTGTGTCAAAGTACAGAATCTGAATTGCATAACATCCCGGTAAAATACCGGAATGTTTGTGGCTGTAAAGTAGAAAAAAATGAGGAAATAATAGTAAACAGAGCAGTCAGGATGTGATTTTTGTTTTGTTAAATTATTTTGTCTTAATTTAATGACAAATGCTGCTAAATGAGTAATTTGTACCAGCAATCAAATATATTTATCTTCTTTGGCATTACAAAGACGAATAATTACTTTATTTCAGTGAAAAATAAAGAAGAAAGCATTTTAGCAGAGAGGGAATAAAATGCAGACATTTTCATTTATCTGGTGCGATCTGAAACGGTTGCTCTCCGCAGCTTGTTTAAGTGTAACCGCCGTCTCTCCTGACAAATCCATCAACCTGCAGACATGGAGCAACGAGGCTGTGGAAATTATGATGCAATGTTTTTTTTTAAATTATTTTCTCCTTCTCGCTGTACTTTTAACAGGAATTTTCACCCTGCACTTCGTTACACCTGGAATCCTTTTACGATCTTCTTTTCGCAATCCCATCCATTCACCCGCTGCCTTGACCTTTCAACCCCCACACCCCACCCTTGACATCCACATCGAGCCATGGCCGCTGCGAAGCCCAAAGGACAGAACTCTCTGGCCCTCCACAAAGTGATCATGGTGGGCAGCGGAGGGGTGGGGAAATCAGCCCTCACCCTCCAGTTCATGTATGATGAGGTCGGTGTCTCACATTTCAGCAGGCATGTGAAGCTGACACGTTTCTTCCACTTGTAACCGGTCAAATCTACCTTTTTTTTTTTCCTCTCCCAGTTTGTTGAAGACTACGAACCCACTAAAGCAGACAGCTACAGGAAGAAAGTAGTGCTGGACGGAGAGGAGGTGCAGATAGACATCCTGGACACGGCCGGCCAGGAGGACTACGCCGCCATCCGGGACAACTACTTCCGTAGCGGCGAGGGCTTCCTCTGCGTGTTTTCCATCACAGAGCTGGAGTCTTTTGCAGCAACGGTAGACTTCAGGTGCGAGAGAGCGTGTCTTAATGAACACCCACACTTTTTCCTTCCACTTAACTTTTTGTTGAGTATTTGTGCCTTTCAAGTCAGCTGTCGCCTACTGATCTAGACAGTGAGAACGTTTAGAGGCTCAGGAATCTTTTGCAGGAGTTCATTAGCTGATTAGGGTGTGACACCATGAGTTACTGATATTCGCCTTAAAACTAAGACGGTTTTAAATGGAAATGTGGACTTAAAGAAACATATCCTTAATACCTGCTTAGAGGTTGTTATTTCCAAGAAGTTACTTTTAATTACGACGCATGTTCCATTGTACCTGTGCGTGCTCCACGGCTGTTTTTGCAGAGAGCAGATTCTGCGAGTGAAGGAGGACGAGAATGTGCCCTTCCTCCTGGTCGGCAACAAATCGGACTTGGACGACCGGCGGCAGGTCAGCGCGGACGAAGCAAAGGCGCGTGCAGAACAGTGGGGCGTGTGTTATGTGGAGACTTCTGCCAAAACCCGGGCCAATGTGGATAAGGTTTGTCGCCCCCTCCTGGTTGAACGAGCTCACTGTTTGAAATTTAAATCAAAAATGTTAACTTTTTTTTTTGTGCTTGTTTGTGTGTTTGTTTTCAGGTGTTTTTTGACCTGATGCGAGAGATCCGAGCGAGAAAAATGGAGGACAGCAAAGAGAAGAATGGGAAGAAGAAAAGTAAAAGCCTGGCTAAAAGGATTAGAGAGAGATGCTGCATTTTATAGTGGTGAAGGAGAGCAGGCTAGCTGCTAGTGTACATGTACATTTCTCAGACTTTTGCATTTCTTTTGTGCCCAGACCTGACCATGACTTTCTGTTCCTGGCTAAAGCAGGACCTCTGACCGTGCGTCAGGAAGTAGTGAGGTGGCACTTCATACACCATTTTTAGCTCTTAACTTTTTATGTGCTGACACTCCAAATAATTTATGATTTATGTAAATCTCCTTTTCTTACTCTTACACATGACAGAGTTTTAATAGATGAGTGGTGTTTTAATTTTAGGCCTGAGCTTGCCAAGAAGCCCTAAAATGCCCCTCTGCCCCCCCTCCCCCCCCAAAAAAAACACAGCATTTTAATTGTAAAGTGTATTCATATTATCTTCAAACAGCTGTACAGGTGTATGTTCAATAGAGAAGGACTGAGACGTTTTCAGAGCCAAGGCTTAAACGGGGAAGGTGTAGTCAGGAAAGCCCCCAGACCATAAATAGAGTCCACCACCTTTGCTTGGAAATACTCAGCATTGCAGCGCAAACTCCAGGTTCAAGTGCCGCCAAGTAAATTTAACTTCCACTAGTTAATCTGCAAAGGATTTTATTGAAATAACGCCTCCCTTTTCTAAGCAGGTGCCCACATTTGTTGCCATTCCTACATGTTTTTTGTGCGATAACATGCTTTTAAACACTATTTTCTCAATTTTTTTTTTAATTATTATTCTCCTCCACATAAAGCACTGTAAAATAGGCACACGATTTTTACATTTCCTTCACTTCTTCCTGTCAGTTTGTCTTCTAAAAATGCACAAACAACATTGATCACTACCCTGAGTCCTCAAAGGGATTTCTGCAACACTTGAACATTTTTCAGTCCTAACGTTTTAGAAGTGTTACCTCGCTCGGCTAAGGAATTTCATTGCCTTTCTTGTGATTGAGGAATCCCTGGTGCTCTGATTTAAAAAAAAAAAAAAAAAAAGGTGATTCCATAACACTACATGCAGCTCAATACAAAAAAAAAATTGCTTCCAGACAATTTAATTTGTTCTTGGCTCAGACTTTTAATTAGCAACTTTATATTACACTAGTTTTCATTTAAATGTATTTCTTATGTAGGAATAACTTAACAGAAGGAGGAGTTGGAGGACGAAAACAAACAAAAGCAAAGACTGAATTACGATTTCCTCTTTCCAAAAACGTTGCCGTCAGCAACCAAAGAAAACTGCTAGGTAATACAAATAACAGGGTTCCTACACCGTCTTAAAATTCTGAACCAGTATTGATAAAAGCAACTTGTTTAGAAAAACATTTGTCTCCATCGACTCTTATTTCTTCCTTTATTCCAAAATCTTCATTCCAGACCTTTCTCCAAATAAAAGTTTGTTTAAATAAGGTTATCTTTAAACTGCTAACACAAAACACTCAAAAAACAATTTTCTCAGAAAACAAAAAAAAAAAACAGTTATAAAAATATAACTTTTTTTTTTTTTTGCCCTGATAAAATGACAAATTAACATGTAAAAAGTCCAGATGTTTCTTTCTTGAGATAAAGCACTAATTATCGCAACAACATCAAACATAAGCTCTAGTTGTCTCTGTAACGGCACAATTAAATGAAACAATCTTGTTTTTCACAAAATAATAAGTTAATGAACAGGGAGAAACGTGTTTGGATCCATTCGCTTGCGCAGTTTTATTCATCTGGATTTGTTTGTGCGTATGTTTGGGTTGGGAATCCATGCAAGTCTTTGTTAGCGAAGCCCCTTTTGGTTGGAGTGCTACATCAGCCACGCAGTTTAACATGGTCTAACCCAGAACCGCGCCCACGGTCTTGCAGCTTACCGTGGGTCCTGGGCACCAGGTTTCTAGTGTTTTGTGTACGAAAAATACTGATTATAATTTTTTTTATTATTATTTTAAAATACTCCTTAACTTCTACCTACATGCCAAAAATAACCTAAAACACGATTGAGCAATTTCAAAA